ACTCAAAGTTAAGAGACCATCGAAAGAATGTATGATTTCAGTTAACGGTCGCTATGTTCTAAAGGCATTACGTTTCTACCAAAAATATAAAATGAAATGGTATTACAGCATGTAAAATCGAGGCCTTTACTGGGCTGATATTAATTAAGTACAAGTTGTCGAATGGTAATGCATCTTTATCATAGAGATAGTTTTACGATTGAATCAGATGGAATATGGATAGGGAACAAAAGAGGCTGGGAGTACCGGTAGAATGAATAACGAATAACTTAAATAAACGGGCAAAGTGTTTGATGTAAGAAGAAAACGGCGTTGACAATGCCCAAAACCATGCTCAGAGCGCAGAAAGACTTTTTTCTGCGTTCTGATGGCATGTTTTGGGCACTGTCAGCGATCTCTGCAACTCTAAAGCTCTCAGTCTTCGATCTTTGCTACTGTGAAGTTCGTTTATGTTCTCAAGACAGCTGGTTTGAACAGTTAACACCCTCTTAGGCCTCGGACAGAGTTCACGCGATTTGATCGTCACGATTCAATCGCGACGAGACAACTGTTACGAGTTCGTTGATGCCGACCAGCTTGAATTTCGGCTGTGATACTTTTCCAGCCCGAAAACTCTTTCCGAGGCCTTACGCACAAAACAAAATGCCTTTTCAACTTCCGCTTCAAAACTAGAAATTCTTTTATTTTAAAGTAAAGATGCACTGACACAAGAACGAGACGAAAACAAGCAAACTCTAACAAGATGGAGCCTGAAATGAAATGCATATCGTCATATGCGTCTTGATGAGCTATTTCCAAGTGCTTTTCGTATCTACTGCGCGGTTCTGTAAAAAAGTTATGAGCGGGTTAAATGTGTGAAGTTATTGATTAATGCGCAAAGTGCTTCTAAAACCAGTTTAGGGATGCACAATCAGCATGTTAAAGGCACCGTCCACCCTGAGTTGAGGGTATTGAGGTTTTGGCAGCATGTAATAGTAGGCCCCCTATCAATCCAATGCTCAAGTAGCGGCGCAAAATGTTGCTTCGGAAGCGAGAAAATCGCTTAGGAATAGCGAAGATGCAAGAGGACCTAATCCATGCCCGCCCATTTGTGCGCGTCCATCCAATCACCGTTCCGGAAAGCCAGCCTGTGGGTTCTCCGGAACGGGGATTTTCGGGGTTTTCCAGCATTTTCAACTTCATATTCGGAATCAGAGGCATGAGAAGGCCCTGAAACGACAAAAATGTGGAAGTCGAAAATCTGGGTGGACAGTGCCTTTAAGGCTACTGAATAAATAGCCACATGCGCGACAGATAGATATGTGGTTTGAACAACTACTTCTTGAAGTTATGATAGTACAGGGTGCGGCAAAAGTCTGGGAGCCCAGTACTTTTTCCTACAAAACGAGAAGGGAAATACCTAGAAACCAAAAATTTGGCGCACACATAATTCGAACCATTGCAGATACATCCCAGTTCTTGAATTGCAAAACTGCTTCTTTTGGCTTCCACGCAGCCCTACAAAGTCTTGGCAAGTCCACCTGTCATGGCACGCAGGTAGTCGTAATTCGCCCCATGCCTTCACAATAACTGCTTCTTTTACCTTGGCAAATGTGCAGCACGCTAGAGCAAGCTTTTATCTACAATATACTTTCAAAAGAATTTTTTGCATCGCTAAGGAATAAAAATATTGGATTTTCAATTAGAAGCATGTGTACGCCACATAATGGGATTTTGGCTACAATTGCGCGAATAAAAACTTAAAACTATCGTTTAAAAAGCATAAAAAGTGTTCCCATGGCCAAATTTCAATATATTTTAATTTAAAAGACGTATGCAAAAAATCCAGCCTTGGCCCCAGTGCCTGTTGAGCATTCCATAGCTTTTGAATTTGTTCTGAAGACAGATTTCCACTGCACGTAGGTAACATTCGCAAACTTTTACTTTCCGTTCATGCAAGAACAGCTCCTGGTAAAAGCAAAACTAGAATACAATAGCGCAAAGCCTCTTCTATGTTGTGTGCATCGAAGTTTTGTAAAATATTAGGTCGTTCCGAAAGTAATGTCGCTTTTTTCCAAATGAACACCACATTTCATGGATTCAAGATTTTTAAGAGATCTCGGGAGCATTCGATGCAGCATTTCACCCTTTTTCTAATGGTTGTAATTTCATTGCATAATTTTCATTGAACTTTCGAAAAATTAACAAAATCTGCAACTCATGCTTTTTGCCATGGTCAAGTTCGGCAATTTTTTAAAATTTTTGTGCATAATCTCCGAAGAAGTACAAGTGGCAGATAGATAGAGCAGACCCTATAGGACACAAAATAATTTTTTTCTTTTCTTTAGCTTGCTTCTTAGAGTTTCTGGAATCAGTTTTAAAATGCCACTAAATTCCATATTTGGTCAGCTCAAACCTCACAGAACAACAATCGGCAAGCAATTCGGGTGTCATTCAACGCAGCTTTTTCTCCTCTTTTTACGAGTTGTTTTTGGTTTCCGATTCATCTGGTTTTCCGAGATAAAATCAACATAATTCAAGTTTTCCAGGGCGCCTCCGGCTGTACACGGAATTTTCTAAAGTTGCTAATCTGAAGCGATAAACGCTCATTCGCTTTGTAAAATTAGTGTAAAACCACAATCCATTTTTGTAAGTTTCAAAATCCGACGATTTCTTGGTGTTTGATGCATTTGTGTCTGAGACGAGCCTACTAAGATTCGATGTTTCCATCAAAAAATCTATACAAAAATTATGACGAGCTCTGAAAAGTAGAAAAAAGTTGTGCTATTTCCCGTAGGGCTTGCTCTATCCATGCATAACTTGGGCTCCTTCCGGGGGTTGTTATAAAAATTTAGAAAAATTGTGAAACTTGACCTTCTCAAAAAGCATGGGTCGCAGATTCCGATAATTTCCCCAGAGGTTATTCAATTTTGTGGGGTAATTGTATAACCACTAGAAAAAGAATGAAATGCTGCATCGAATGCCACCAGAATCTCTTACACATCTTTGTTCCACGAGATGTGGCGTACGTTTGAAAAAAGCGACATAACTTTCGGAACGACCTAATATTAGCAGCATCTCTAGCTGCAGCAAAAATTGTAAATACTAAAAACTCTGGTTTTTTCGCTTTGCAAAGGTACTAGTTTGGTAATTTCCATTCTTACAAAAATATATGGCAGCCATCTCTAACCAAATAAAGTGTATTCTGTAGAGGATGACCGCAGCATCATGTGGCATAAAATTTAAATCAAAACCATCAGTATCTTTGTAATTGCAGTACTGCAAAGTTAGGCTCCCAAACTTTTGCCGCACCCTGTAATTGTTTGCCAAACTTGAACCTTCAAACGCTCACGTTCTTCTAGGGAATCGCGCAGCAAATGCGAGTTACATTTGGAATCAGCTCAACAAGACACATTTAAACGTATGTATCTCGTTTCGAATAACCACCGCGATTTCGGATCCTTTTTCAGCAAAACAATGAGAAAAAATGCTTATTTCCCAGCTCTTGACACTACATCCACGCGGTTGCGCGTGTACAGCACGAATCAGGCAAGGTTGCTACAGTTAGAGCATTGCGCTAAAAGTGTGACAGCACTTGGAATTCAAACCAAACTAGCCTCATCTCTGTTTATGTTCTGGGTCATCTGCCATAGGCCCTTACCGCCGTTACTGCAGACGATTTCGAGTGCTTTTAGTAGAACTTTTGCTTCTTATTCGAATCGTAATACTACAAAGGTAGGCGCCAGACTAAGCGATTGCATGCTTCAGCAGGACGCGGCGCTGTTACCTTCATTTGATGTTACGTTGTGGAAAAATCAAGTCGGCGTGCGTGATTTCGCTACAGCAGAAGTTTTTCACAGGTATCAACGAGGCTTTTTTTAAAATCATCTTTTTGACACTACTGTTGTTGCAAACATCGCAGACGCCACTTCGATTTACGTCCAACATGACGCCTAAATACACCAGCTTACAGTGTTGCGCCGCATCCTGCTGAGGCAGGCAAAAGGATAGTCTGGCGCAAGAACTAAAATTTGGAGTCTTTGCACTTTTTCTGCTACTCAGCAATCGTCTGTAAAGGCCACTTTGGGCAAATATGTAAAACTAGGGGCGCGTTTAAAGTATTGTTCCATCCTAATTTAGGGGCCTTGAGGTTTCGGCAGCATAAGATAGTAGGACTCCTGTCGACCCAATGCCCAAATCGGGGCGCAAAGTGTCGCTCCAATGCCCAAATCGGGGCGCAAAGTGTCGCTTCGGAGGCGAAAAAATCGCTCTGAAATGACGAAGTGGCTTGAGGGCCCCTAGACGGGATCGACCCTCTGCAGTACTGCCTGCCCATCCGTGCTCGCCCATTTAACCACAATTTGGAATGATCGCCCCGCGGGTTTTCGAATGGGCATTGTTGGGGTTCTCACTAATTCTCGACTTCATATTCGAAATCAGGGACATGAGTAGGCTCCGGCAAAAACATGCAAGTCAAGAATTGTGACGATGCCTTTAACAGCTGAGAGCATGACTTCAGACAAGCGCTGCGGATATGCATGATTAGAATTTTTGAACTCCGCTCCGGAAATTCAAAGAACTGATCACGACCTTGCAAGGCTCAATTTCTTATTCTTTCAAAAAAGCAGCGATTTATATGCAAAAAATCAGAGAAATTAACATGTGGCACGGTTGCGCCTCTTTGGTTTCCTGACAACCTGCGAGCGGCGTGCGAAAATTGAACAACGCGCATTTACTAGGACCGCTCACCCCGCCGACGATTTGAGGAGACTTCCAGGGTTTATAACATACAAGATGAAGATACGGCCTTCCCATGTTTCGGCCCGTTCATAATACTGTTTTTGCATTTACATTGGCTTTTACATTCTGAAAACAATCGAGTAGCTTAAGTTTTTAGGAATGTATTGCCACGTTTTTCCTTTCGTAATCTTCACTTAAAAGTCACTTAATGTTTCTGAAAGCATCTAATGCAGCGTTATGCATAAAGCACTCAACTATGCACTTGAAAATAAGAAAAGGAATTCCTGTCATATCTCACGGCCCTCCTCGCTATCCAGCATAAAAAAAGGGTATTTCCATATGGTGTTGAGCGAAGTAATGAATTTGACAATCTACGTCTTCGTTGCAACCATCTTAGTCTCTTCCCTATCTTATGTCGATGGCGAAAAATCGAAAAAACCTCATAAAGAGAACGAACTGAAAAGAAGTAAGTTTCAAAGATTTCTACGGATAACATTTGAGAGGTTTGAAAATATTTCTTCTAGGACCGTGGCTCCACGATTATACAGAGGATTTCCTTGGAATCAGCCAGGAAGATTATATGCTAATAGAATCAGCAAGCATAATCAAAGGAGCCGAAGGAGGATACCCACTGGTTAGGCTTGATTGTTAAGGAAGTGAATGCATTTATTTTATAATTGGAACTTACGTAGTCTCTCCACAGCTTTTTAAATTTTTTCAAGTTCTGTGTTCTTTGCTAAAAATTTGTGATTTGAATTGAGTATTTACGATAATTTTGCAGGCTAGTCAAGTCCTCAGTATGAATCCTGAGTTGACGAAAAAATTTAATGCAATCACCTTTACTGAGTTCCGTCTAAGCAAGGAAGCGTTTAGATTCATCCAGAAGGTAGGATGAGAGATTGATTTCCCTGCCGCCTAATTCTGCAATATTTGATCTTATCAAAATAACAGTTTCTTGACAAATCTAGTCACCCTCTTCAGTATTAAAGATACAAATCCAACAGCACTTCCTTCAGCTAACATATACTATAGAAAAAGAGCGACGTACGGGAATATCGCAAGCAAAAGAGTGAGCTGTTCATTTATCAGCAAAAATTCCACACATAAAAATATCTTTTCAGCTTTTCAAAGGAGGTGTCCGCTATGACTTCGAAACCCGGACTTTGTCGTGAGCTTTCCCAATATCTCGAAGGAACAAGTTATAAAAGAGGGATAAAATCAATTCTCGGTAAGTTTGAAAGTAAAGGTGCAAGTTCACTTTTACTAAGATCGAAACTGCTTTTGATTGAATGTTGTTTTTCTCAGACTCCTTTACAGAACAATAGTTGCTTTATAGAAACGGATCGGAAAGATTATGTGGCCAATTGCTGAAGCTGCTCTACCCGATCCATCTACGTCTTTCACAAGACCGATATATATGCAAATTTCATGTTTTACTGGAACCTTCGGTACATAAGAATCGATTTAAAACACTTACATTTGTATCACGCATGCAATTCCTCATAAATCTGATTCTTGCAAAGATTTTATTATCATTGTTCCAATAAAACAGTCCTTTACTTCAATATTAGCAAAGGTACTAGCTATCTCAACAGCAGTTTCCCCACGATTTTTTAAGTTTCTATAAATCTTCAAGTGCCATAAAGTGCGAGATCACGCTCTACGACAACGATCACTCTGATAATTTTGAAGTTAAGTTTTTGTGCATAAGCACTAAACCTACTAGACCGCATTGAATTTAGAAGTTTTTGCGCCCTACTGAGACAATGATTGATGGGATTTAGAGAAATTACAGAAGTTATGGAAATATAGAATTACACGAATAATAAAGCTGAAAAGAAAAAGTCTATGCATGCATCGTCGTCAAAAAACTAGTGCGACTCGCAAGATCATCTTCCCAGTTGTCAAAACTGCAGGGTTCGCTAAGTCTAAGCACCAGAGTAGCAAGGAATCAACAATCAGTAGTCTATCCCATCAAAAGCCGCATCAGGACTTCACGCTCTACTAACTTATAAATATCAATAAACACCATCTTTTTTCTATTTGCTGAAACAAGTGTTTTATAAAAGTTACAATAAAATGGTGAAAGTTACGACTTTTCAATCTCAAAATTTGCTGCAGTCCAGCAGTTGCTGCAGGCATATACATAGTAGGGAAATGCAAAAGGAGAATTGCTTAAGAATTGCTTGAGTTTCACCGAGATTAGTAATTGCTTTATTCGACTGACGTTTCGGCAAAATCGCCTTTTTCAAAGTCTCGAATGTCGAATGCATGAGTAGTCTATCCCATCAAAAGCCGCATCAGGACTCAGAAAAGACGTCCAAAGCGTCAGTAAACCGAGTTAAGAAGGTAAATGCAGAACTCGGCAAGGAGGGCGACTTCATGGTTTCGGGAGTAGTGTACCTTATCACTTGTCAGGTAGAGGCACGTTCGGCGAAACGGGGCGTCCTCTATGTACGCGCATCAAGGAACATCTAGACTGTTTTAAAAAATTGTACCCGGCAACTCTACTGGGCAGGCACCGCAGATTGCATAATGATGCCGACTTGGATGTAAAGGTCACGATTTTAGCACGCGAATCCGAAATCCTGGCGCGCAAGACGTTAGAGGCGTTTTGGATCGCTGCCAAAATTCCAAATTCGAATTGTGAGGATGAGCACATAGCCATCACTAACGAGATGACCGCTTATCAGAGCCTTTGTGGCTTTTGAGGTCAATTTGAGGCCAGCCACCGGGTATATGGAAGTTAGAGCTCAGTACTGGTATACGGCTTGCTGCCAAGCAGTCATCAGCTGTTTTATGTGAGCACTAGTTCAATTCTGCATTTACTTTCGTAGCTCGGTTTACTGACGCATTGGACGTCTTTTCTGACTCCTGATGCGGCTTTTGATGGGATAGATTACTCATGCATTCGACGGTTTCGGACTCTGAAAAAGGCGATTTTGCCGAAACGTCAGCCGAATGAAGCAGTTACTAATCTCGGTGTGAAGCTCAAGAGTTCTCAAGGCAATTCCAAATGCCGAGATTGAGCGACGATCGCACTTGGACAAAACGAGAATGTTGTTTCATGATTTATTAATTAGGGAAGACATCACTAACAACTTGTCGATCACCACCTATTGAGGCTACGGGAAGTATACATATTTGTGAAGCATATTCAGCTCCGTCTGGCCCTGTCAAAACACTATAAAGGTCCCATCCCTTCCCTGACAAGCTTTCCCTGTGCCCAATTTTATGTACCAACTTCCTGTCTCCACTTTGTTTTCGAAATCAATATGTCCCACTTATCTCTTCCCCCCCCCCTCCCTGCGACAACTCCTCCTCCCAGCCTCGTAGCTCAAGCTTTGCAAAAGATCGATAAATTGATAAAAGAATTTGATGGTTCCAAAAACTAATACTTAATCGTAATCAGCATGCTCACTTAATCCCCCCCCCCTGCCCCGTAGCGCGAACTCTGATGCAAATCGATAAAAATTGATGAACTCGATATTGATCGTTAACGAAGAGTGGCTTACGTTACCCGCACCGCCTCGAAGTGCATATGTGCAAAGTCTAGTCCATAGGTGCGATAGTGTGAGAATTTGCTAACCCCCTCTTCAACCCTGGAACGGGACCAAAGTGACCCCCTTCACCAATTGATGAGAAAAAAATCAGCAGTAAAGTAAGGTTAAGCAAAGGACATATTTGTATGGGAATTGTTTGTGTATCCGAAAAGAGGAAGATGATTTATAGGGTTCAACGAACTTGCAGAAGGAAAAAAATAGTAGCTTCTGTAGTTGCACAGCAACGTCAGCGAGGAAAGTTCCGTGGAACAGCATTCCCCTCTGGTTTCAGGGAATAAATAATTTGAGTTCCCTTCATAGAAGTACTTAGTAAAAGGTGTGCCTAGTGATTTCTGGACACTTACGAGTCAACAAAAAAAAATTCATAAATTTTGTAGATGAACGGCTGGTCCACGGAAAGGGAGGCGTGCAAGTGGTACCCGGGCAGCCGACTGCTGCCGCAGTCAACCGTTAGAGCTGCCGGCAAAGTCGCTGCAGATGGAACAGTAATTACGCTCGTCGTCTAAAACTCTTGCCGAGAGGTTTTCTCGCGCCTAGTTGCTCTGAGGTGCGATATCAGCCTCAGGAAAGCGTGATATCCTCGACATTTGAACAGCAGAAAATTCATGTTTTTGAAAAACATGGAAATAAACAAAGGCAAACAGGGGAGAGGTTTTTTAAAGGAAAATGATCACAAATTCAAATCACTCTAAAAAACTCAAAGTTAGCAGAAGCTGAAAAGTTCAGAAATGTCTCAAATTTCTAGAGATTTTTTCTCGTTTCCACGTCGAAAAACGAACGAGATTAGTTACAGGGAATTGTCATGGATATAACGGTAAGAAAATTGTGTCAAGATGATTATTTCATACAAAGTGGTGTTAAGCGAGCTTAATAAGGTCAATTATAGCGTAATATCCTCAATATCTATATCATTTTGAAGAGCAGAATAAGCCATTTTTATTGAGAACCATACAGTCGAATACAAAACTACACCGAAAATTCTCCAAAAATTCACAAACAATTACAAAAATGAATGAATAGGAAATCGAACAGTTTTTTCCGTCAAATTTTGAAATCAAAGTACAATAAATATCATTGACGCTGCAATTTTGAGGATCCTTAATTTTCCAATGAAGAATTCCTATAAATCAAATTCACTTTTCAATGATATTTCAGCTTCTGCAAACTTTGAGTTTTTTAGTGATTTGAATTTGTGATCATTTTCCTCTAGAAAACCTCTCCCCTGTTTGCCTTTGTTTATTTGCATGTTTCTCAAAAAAATGAATTTTCTGCTGTTCAAAACGATATAGATATCGAGGATATCACGCATTCCTGAGGCTGATTTCGCACCTCAAAACGACGAGGTGCGAGAAAACCTTTCGGCAAGAGTTTTAGACGACGAGCGTAATTATTGTACCATCTGCAGCGGCTTTACCGGCAGCTCTAACGGCTGACTGCGGCAGCAGTCGGCTGCCCGGGTACCACTTGCTACGCACCCCCACGGAAATAATCACCATTGGAGCAGCCTCGTCCTCCGCTTTCAGAAGATATATACTTTGCATGCAGTCCGTCAAAAAAGTGCCGGGTGAAGGGTGTGCCTAGTGATTTTTGGAGATTTTCGAGTTTATAACATGTAAGGTAACAAGGTAACAAAACAAGGTAACAAAATATATGGTTCCGAAAAATGTATTGGTAGCAATTATCAACAAGTATCAATAATGAATCAAGAAGTGAAATCTAAAGCGTTCTTTGCGAGTGCTCGTAAGTAAGTCATAAGCAGGGTCAAGCGTGGGCTGTGGCACGCCACACCTGGAAGGTCAAAAGGGGAGGGGTCGTAGTTATGTAATCTGATAATAGTGATAACATGATATTTGTATCATATTCATAATTAGCATGTCAATTAACCCCTTAAAGAAAGTTTGAGCGAATTCTGAAGATTCAAGATACTAGGCTACCTAAGTGAAATGGTCAGTTCCAACATGGTTAACTTTGTTTCAAAGGTGGATTACCTATCCGTTTTTACACTCAAGACAAAACACCACTTCTTTTTTGTCCATCTCAGAAATCCCGCTTCAAAAGACGTCCAAACTGTGGAATTGGAAGCCAACCAAAATCTCAAATTTTTCCAGTTTTTGCTTTTGATGGCTGTGCCTTCACCAAAGATTACTCAGAGCTAAGAAGACGAAGCAGCCACAGCTTTCAAGGGGGTGTGCCACATATAGGTCCGAATCAAATAGAAATTCAAACTTTCGAATAGAACATTCGAATATATTCGTATTCGAAATTCGATATTCGGAGTTCTTCCATTTTCGAATAATATTCGAAACTCGAATAATTGAGAAAACGGGGTTTCGAATAAAATTCGAAACTCGAATAATCAAAAAACAGGGTTTCGAATAAAATTCGAAAACTCGAATAATTAAAAAACGAGGATTCGAATATTATTCGAAAACTCGAATAATCAAATAACGGGGTTTCGAAAAGATTTTATTCGAATGTTTTATTCGAAACTTTATTCGAATTCGTATTTGAATGAACTCCGTATTCAGATTATTCGCCTTTGTTGCAGAGCCCAGTTGGCTCTGAGATTAAACTCACTTCGTTTTTTTAATCGCAAAAGTTGGTAAAGCTCTTTGCAACCGTTATGACCTTTGAACTGTATGGAGGGTCTCATTCTTCCGACTGCTTAACAGTAAAAAATCATGTGTGGATTATAATTGTTGATTTTTCGATCAGTGAGATTGTTCGCACTGCTATTGGCACCAAATCAGCAAAGAAGCTATCAAATTCAAGCACATCTTCCGAGTTCATATATTGAAAGTGTTTTGAAATGCTCTATAAATGTTTTTTTTTCTTTGCATTACTCATGCTTGTGGTACGCAAAGGTCACACTAGTGAACAGGCTCGCATAAGTTATATTGCACGATTGCCTCTATTCGCTTCCTTAGAGATTTTTTGCAAATTAGTGCATTTTGAGTAAAAGACATCGCAGCTGTAGTGGAGGATTACAC